AACAAATGTTATGAGTTTAGTTTAGTTTATGTGTTGACAAAAGCAAAGAAAGCAACGACCACACAGTCAGGCCTTTGAGTTGGCAGACGTCGCCCTCTTGTGGACAAAATACATTATAGCCAAACCTGTGCCTCTAATCCAGGGGTGGGCAAGTATTTTTTCCATGGGGCCACATATTGTGGAGGTCCAAAATGTTTAACTAAATTCTGCAGAATCTTAATTGTATTTCTTTAAAAAAAAAAAACAGTAAATATCATTGTTTTGTTGAGCTGGTCAGACTGGTAAGAGTTTATGTCATGACTAAGCGATGAAAAAGTGATGCCTTATTTAAAATGTCATTAAAAAACTCACTCTTCACGGGCATGAGGTAGAATGATCAAACATGTTTATTTTGTAATTCTAAATGAGCTTAAAGGGGCCGGTCAGAGTCAAACAAAGAGCCGTATGTGGCTCGGGAGCCGCACGACGCTCAGGTCTGATCTAAAACTTCTCTCAGAAATCTATTATGAAATATTTAGTCCTGAACTAAACCAGGACAAGTCTGAATTAGACTGAATTAGACTTAGATTAGAGTCTGTTTTGTGTTCCACCCCTGACCTTTGACCCCATTACCTTCTTTTCCAATTATATTATCCAATTTTCTTTCATGTAATTCAATACGTTGGCTGTAAAAAAAAACTTTTATAGTTTTAAACAAAGAGTCAACTGGTGTTTTTTCCAAACTGCATGAGTCCAGAATCCGTGTGTCATTCATTCATTTGTTTTTCAAAATAAAACCTAAAATAAGAAAACGAAAATACAACAATTTTTCTTCATTATTTGTCTCCAAAACCAAAATGAAAAAACAGGTAATGATTTGTTTTTTCAGTTTTCAATTTTGTGTTTAAATGAAAAATGGAAAAAAACGGATAACGACCGTTTTCCCGTTTTCGTGACTTAAACTTTTCTGCGACGTCGAACTGAACCAGGACTGAACCAGGTCCGGGACCAGACCAGGACTGAGGCCGGGACCAGACTGTGATTAAGACCAAGACAGAGACTGGGAACAGGACCAGGACTTGAGGCTGGGACCAGACCGTGATTGAGACCAGGACTGAGACCGAGAACAGGACCAAGACTGAGGCCGGGACTGAAGCCAGGACCAAACCATGATTGAGACCGGGACTGAGACCAGGACTGAGGCCGGGACCAAACCGTGATTGAGACCAGGAGAGACCAGGACTGAGGCCGGGACCAGACCATGATTGAGACCAGGACGAGACCGGGACTGAGACCAGGAGAGACCAGGACTGAGGCCGGGACCAAACCGAGACTGAGACCGGGACTGAGGCCGTGACCAGACCACGTTTGAGACCAAGACAGAGACTGGGAAAAGGACCAGGACTTGAGACCGGGACCAGACCGTGATTGAGACCAGGACTGAGACTGGGACTGAGACCAGGACTGAGGCCGGGACTAGACCGTAATTGAGACCGGGACCAGACCGGGACTGAGACCAGGAGAGACCAGGACTGAGGCCGGGACCAAACTGTGATTGAGACCAGACCAAACCGAGACTGAAAACAGTTTGGTCTTGGTTTAGTCCTGGTTCAGTCTTGGTTTAGTCTTGGTTTAGTCCTGGTTCAGTCTTGGTTCAGTCTTGTTTAGTCAGTCTGGTTCAGTCTGGTGGTTCAGTCTTGGTTTAGTCCTGGTTCAGTCTTGGTTCAGTCTAGTCTTGGTTTAGTCTTGGTTCAGTCTTGGTTTAGTCTGGTTAGTCCTGGTTCAGTCTTGGTTTAGTCTTGGTTTGGTTTAGTCTTGGTTTAGTCCTGGTTTAGTCTTGGTTCAGTCTTGGTTTAGTCTTGGTTTAGTCTTGGTTTAGTCTTGGTTCAGTCTTGGTTTAGTCTTGGTTTAGTCCTGGTTTAGTCTTGTTTAGTCTTGGTTCAGTCTTGGTTTAGTCTTGGTTTAGTCTTGGTTTAGTCTTGGTTCAGTCTTGGTTTAGTCTTGGTTTAGTCTTGGTTTAGTCCTGGTTTAGTCTTGGTTTAGTCTTGGTTTAGTCTTGGTTTAGTCCTGGTTCAGTTCGGCATCTCAGTTTAAGTCACGCCGTTTTTTCCATTTTTCATTTAAACACAAAATCAAAAACTGAAAAAACAAATCATTATCTGTTTTTTCATTTTGGTTTTGGAGACAAATAATGAAGACATTTTTTTTTCTTATTATTTTTGGTTTTATATTGAAAAACAGATGACACACAGATTATTCTCAGCACCTGCTGAAGTCACTAAATCCTCTGTTTTGTTTTGCAGTTTTGTCCCTGGCTCCTCCTCAAGTGTTTTATTGGAGCTTGAGCACTTCTAGAGGAGGAGTCTGAGTCTGGTTCTTTCTCTTTGTTTTCCAGAAAAATGGATTCTTGTCGTTTATGGATTTTGTTCTTTGTCACAGCAGCAGAACAGGATTTCCCTTTTCTCTCATGGGCGTCGTGTTAATGCGCTAACTCGCTTCCTCCACTCACAGAGCTGAAGTTTGTATCCTGGACATCTGTGTGTGTGTGTGTGTGTGTGTGTGTGTGTGTGTGTGTGTGAACGATATCCAAGTCATTCATCAGCCGGTTTCACTTCGTAGAAACCGTCTGACCTCACAGCGTTAGGATTCGTTCGCTCGACAGTTGCAGGTACTTTTTTATTGAACCAGTCGCTGCTGTTTGGTCGTGATGTTTGTAAAGCTCCAAATCCCGTAGGAAGAAGAACAACGTCTTTCCACTTGATAAAATTCACCAAACATTCTTTTTGTTCCGGCTTTAAATCCTTGATCTCGGGAATCGTTGCCGACACAGAATGTCTGGGTCTCTGATTGGCTGGTGCTCGAACTCGCACTTCCAGGGTTTTTACGAACCGTCTAGTGCAGGGGTCGAGATCGTATGGCTCGCGAGTCAGGTGTGGCTCTTTTGATGATTGCATCTGGCTCGCAGATAAAACATAAAATATTCTCACTTGTTTTTGTCTACGTTTACACACGGCCGAATATTTTGAGAAACAAATATTTCTCTCCCTCTGTTTTCCAAAATAACATCGTGCAGCATCGTTTTCAAAAAAGTTTTCGTTTACATCGACCCGACATCGAGCGCCGCCAAAATCACTGACCTCCGAGCCGTTGTTCATCTCTGCTCATGGATCTGATCCATCAGATGTGTGTGAAAATGCAAACACATGAAAAGTGTTTGCACCAGAACAAATAGATGAGCTGAAGTGGGGAGTGGTGTCCGGTGCCTCCAGCTGAGAAGCGCTTTCCCCGGGAAAAAAACAACAACACGTGTGCGGACGAACAACATAACGAACCAAACGGGATTCATGCTTCTGTCCGGATGCTTTGCACCACCTCGGAACCAGCCGCGGTCGAGTGTGGAGGACCAGAGCAGCCCACCCGGACCTGTAGTCCACAGCACATTCTCGCTCTTCCTGCACAGAACCAGGGCACAGTCTTGCGCCCTGGTTCTGTGCAGGACCCAGTCTTGAACCCAGTCCTTTTCACGCTGGTCTTGCTCCGTCTGGAACCAGGACATGGAGGATGGAGCCTCTGGACCGATCTGACCAACACTGGACCCCAGCCCCGTGTTGAGGAGCTGTGAGCTACGGTGATGCTTCCATGTGTTTTGCGCGTTTGTCCAAACTCAGAGCTTCTGCTCTGGGCTGATGTGCGGTGAGTTTGTACAAAGTTCTACGTGCTGCTGTGTCATGAGTTCATGGTGATAAGTTGAGATGAGGACGGCCGCGGTGTTGACAGGGAACGTAGATTCCCTTCGCAGTTGGAGGAACATTGGGAACGTCGGTCTGACCCTGTCTGGGTCTGTGTGGGATGGTGTCTGGACTACAAAGCGATTAATGGTGAGTATTATAACAACATTATTTAAAAGAATAAATTCAGAGACTTATTATACTCACATTTAGTTGAATTCAGTCTTAAAATATATTATATGGCTCTCACTGAAATAAATTTACAAATATTTAGCTTTCATGGCTCTGAGTCAAAAAGGTTCCCGATCCCTGGTCTAGTGTATTGTGATTCCTGACCTAGTCGCTGGAGAGAAATGAAATTGAGCGGAGGCACTAGGCTGTGCCAGCCTGACTAGACAAACTCAGGCCCTACGGCCAAATTTGGCCCGTGATATAATTATTTTTGGCCTGTGAGATCATATTAAATATGTATTAGAGCTGCTCAGCTACAGACGCCCCCTGCCCTCTAAGTTCTGCCCTCTAAAAAAAAACTCGACTTTGTTTTCATAGCTGTGGCCTGCACGATCACAAGAACCTATTGTCCAGAACAGAGTCCGACAACACGCCACACAGAAGAGGCACACAGGAGGCACAGGAGGCACAGACATGTGCTCTGGGGTCAGACATGTGAGCTCCATTGTTTTGGTCTTGTACTTGGACGCGCGTTAGGACCCTGCGGACTCCCACGCCCCTCCTCTTTCTGTCTTTCTCTCTCCCTCTTCCTCTCTCTTCCTCTCTCTTCCTCTCTCTCCCTTTCTCCTTTTGACAGAACCAAACCGACGCTCAGTCTCAGGAAGGATGTGGACGCGGTGAACGCTGAAGTTTGGAGCGGTTTCTGGGGGATGTCAGGAGGATCCAACACTCGCTCTTTCGGGCTCTTGACGACTTCCCTTCGGAGACCCGAGCGGGATTTCAACGTCTGAAGAATCATTTGGGAATTTTCGAACGCGACGCGCATCCAAGTTTGACACGTGGATTCTGCAAACATGTCGCAAAGGAGCATCGAGTTTGAGCATTTCGAGGAGCGGGACAAGCCCGGACACCGCGCGCCCAGAGCCGGGTCCGGGTCCGGGTCCTTCAGCGGGTCCAGGGGGAACGGTTTGGTCCCCAGTCCGGCTCACAGCGCGCACTGCAGCTTCTACCGCACGCGCACGCTCCAGTCCCTCACGTCGGAGAAGAGGGCCCGGAAAGTGCGCTTCTACAGGAACGGGGACAAGTATTTCAAAGGTCTGGTCTACGCGGTGTCCAGCGACCGGTTCAGGTCTTTTGACGCACTGCTCATGGAACTGACGCGCTCCCTGTCCGACAACGTCAACCTGCCCCAAGGAGTGCGCGCGCTTTACGCACTGGACGGGGGCAGGAAGATCACCAGCCTGGACGAGCTGGTGGAAGGTGAGTCCTAGTCCTGGTTTAGGCCTGGTTTAGACCTGATGTAGTCCTGGTTTAGACCTGATGTAGTCCTGGTTTAGACCTGATGTAGACCTGGTTTAGACCTGATGTAGTCCTGGTTTAGAGACCTGATTTAGTCCTGGTTTAGTTTAGTAGTCCTTAGTTTAAGTCCTGGTTTAGACCTGATGTAGTCCTGGTTTAGTCTTAGTTTAGTCTGGTTTAGTCCTGGTTAGTCCTGGTTTAGACCTGATGTAGTCCTGGTCTTAGTCTTAGTTTAGTCCTGGTTTAGTGCTGTTTTAGTCTTAATTTAGTCCTGTTTTAGTCCTGGTTTAGACCTGATGTAGTCCTGGTTTAGACCTGATGTAGTCCTGGTTTAGTCCAGTTTGGTTTAGACCTGGTTTTAGACCTGATGTAGTCCTGGTTTAGAGTTTAGACCTGATGTAGTCCTGGTTTAGTCTTAGTTTAGTCCCTGGTTTAGACCTGATGTAGTCCTGGTTTAGTCTTAGTTTAGCCCAGGTTTAGACCTGATGCAGTCCAGGTTTAGACCTGATGTAGTCCTGGTTTAGTCTTAGTTTAATGGTTTAGTCTTAGTTTAGTCCTGGTTTAGACCTGATGTAGTCCTGGTTTAGACCTGTTTTAGTTTTGACTTAGTCCTGTTTCAGTCCTGTTTTAGTCCTGGTTATTCCAGGTTTAGTCCTTAGTTTTAGTCCTGGTTTAGTCCTGTTTAGTTTAGTCCTGGTTTAGACCTGATGTAGTCCTGGTTTAGTCTTACTTTAGTTTTGGTTTAGTTTTAGTTTAGTCCTGGTTTAATCTTAGTTTATTCCTCTTTTTTTTTTTGTCGTTTTGAGCCCTGCGTCCTCTGTCCCAGCAGATTTATCCAAAACCAGTGATTTGTCCCAGTTTTTTGTGTCCCTCTTTTGGACCAGTCTGATCCCTGCCGACAGTAAAGAGACATAAACTGACATTTGTTTTGGTAAAATACAGAAAAGCTGCTTAAAAACGACCGAAACACAAAGAAAATGTGACTGTACTGACTCACTTTAGTGCAGAGGACTGAGCAATTTTCCTTAATTACGCACTCGCACTCGTTTCACAATTTTATTTAGAAACCAGCGATGTCCCAGTTTTTTATTTTGAAAATCTGGTCACTGTAGGTATAAATAAAACTGTGAACAGAGCGTAACATTGTGAATTCTCGTGTCAGTCATGATCTGAGGGACTTTTGTCACTGCACCTTTTTTTTTTTTTTTTTTTTTTGATTTATGGTCATTTGCAAACACGGTTTTCTGTATTTTGGCAAAACAAATGAGAATTTACGCTCCTCTTTACTGTTGACGGGGATCAGATTAGGCAAAAATTGTGACAGTCCTGGTTTAGTCTTAGTTTAGTCCTGTTTTAGTCCTGGTTTAGACTTGATGTAGTCCTGGATTAATCTTAGTTAAGTCCTGTTTTAGTCCTGTTTTAGTCTTAGTTTAGTCCTGGTTTAGTCTTACTTGAGTCCTGCTTTAGACCCATTGTAGTCCTGGTTTAGTTTTAGTTTAGTCCTGGTTTAGACCTTTAGTCCTGGTTTAGTCTTGTTTAGTCCTGTTTTAGTCTTAGTTTTAGTCCTGTTTAGTCTTAGTTTAGTCCTGGTTTAGTCTTAGTTTAGTCCTGGTTTAGTCTTAGTTTAGTCCTGTTTTAGTTTTTTAGTCTTAGTTTAGTCCTGGTTTAGTTTAGTTTAGTCCTGGTTAGTTTAGTTTAGTCTTAGTTTAGTCCTTAGTTTAGTTTAGTCTTAGTCTGTTTAGTTTAGTCCTGGTTTAGTCTTAGTTTAGTCCTGGTTTAGTCTTAGTTTAGTCCTGTTTAGTCCTTAGTCTTAGTTTAGTCCTGGTTAGTCTTAGTTGGTTTAGTCCTTTTAGTCTTAGTTTACTGGTTTAGTTTAGTCTGGTTTAGTCTTAGTTTAGTTTAGTCCTGGTTTAGTCTTAGTTTAGTCCTTTAGTTTAGTTTAGTCCTTAGTTTAGTTTAGTTTAGTCTTAGTTTAGTCCTGGTTTAGTCTTAGTTTCCTGGTTTAGTCTTAGTTTAGTCCTGTTTAGTCTTAGTTTAGTCTTAGTTTAGTCCTGGTTTAGTCTTAGTTTAGTCCTGGTTTAGTCTTAGTTTAGTCTTAGTTTAGTTTACCTGGTTTAGTCTTAGTTTAGTCCTGGTTTAGTCTTAGTTTAGTCCTGGTTTAGTCTTAGTTTAGTCCTGGTTTAGTCTTAGTTTAGTCCTGGTTTAGTCTTAGTTTAATCCTGGTTTAGTCTTAGTTTAGTCCTGGTTTAGTCTTAGTTTAGTCCTGGTTTAGTCTTAGTTTAGTCCTGGTTTAGTCCTGGTTTAGTCTTAGTTTACTTAGCCTTTTTTTTGTAAACTCACCTGCAGTGCGACGTTAGATGGAGGAGGAAACAACAACAACAACAACAATGTGAAATCATGTAACGTGAATAAATTTGGAGTTCGCACAAACAATATGAGTAAACGATCAGTAGACTGGAGGAAGACGATGGATGGATCATGGGGAAGTGTAGGTTTAATCCACAGTGACTCTTAGGCTGCGTTCAGACTGCAGCCTGAAGTGACCCAAATCCGATTTTTTGGCCCCTATGTTCCTGTATCTGATCTTTTAATGACAGTCTGAATGACACAGATCAGATTTTTTCAAATGTGACCCAGGACACTTGGATATGTGCTCCTGAAACTGATACATATCTGATCTTTTGACATGTGACTTCAGTCTGAACGGCCAAAGTGCATTCATCCACCTACACGTTATCAACAAGACACAAACGTCACTATTCTGCGCTGAAGTAGGAGAAAATTGTTAATGAACTCCATGTCACTGAAGTGAAGCACATCACCACTCACCACTCTTGGCTCCGTCTCCATATCCACACGTTCCTTTCAACTAGGGACGGGCATTCGATGAAATTTTCTTAATCGATCGCCGGAAGAATTAACGATCGATTATCGATTAATCATTAAGGTTTTTATATTAAAATGATCATCATTATTATTACTATCTGCACTACTAATCTGCATAAATAAATTCAACTTTACGACATATAAACCGTAACGACTCTAGAGCCACATCAGCCCGTTTGACATTATAATGTGTTTAATTCAGTTTTGTTCAAATCTCACAGAAACAAAACTTAAAACCACATCACTAATTTACATAAACTAAGCGAAGATAAAACTCCAGCTCTTGTGTCGCTGATGTGGTTCAATTTCTGTCGGATTAAAAGACATGACTCAGGTGAATACAGGTTAGTGTGACCAGATTTGTGTTTGTCAAAACCAGGACAGCGTACGGGGGGAGGGGGGCGGGGCCTCGTCATCCACATTGAGCGACTCTCACCTGGAAAAACTTTTTCCCACTGGACACAGAAACATATGTGCTGCTTTATACACTGTGCACATGGACTCACACTTGTCCCAAACGCAACGGAAAGTGTGGAATTTCTTGTACAAATCATCGTTAAATCCACATTTGTGCTTCGGTTCGTTACAGACTGACCCACTGTTTGTGTCTCGCTCCTTCTGATGCAGAGACACATGTACACACCTGTTTGGTCACAATACACACAGCAACCTACATTCGGTTTGTCGATTAAAATTAATGTAATCGATTAAATTCTTAACGATCAATTATCGATTAATCATGCCCATCCCTACTTTCAACGGCCAAAAACCTCGTCCTTCTCCTTCTCAATCTCCTCCTTAAAACAAGTAAGTTGTTCATGTTCTGGCTCCGGTACGAGAGGAACTTTAAAATCTCCAGGTGCTCGATGCTGCGTCCATGTTTGGACAACTTCCGTAAACACAGAGACGCTCGCTGCGGTTGACGTCGTCGTGTCTCCAGTGTCACATGTGGGACACTTTCGGGCCGTTTAATGTTCACACTGGAGTCACATACAAGTCACATTTAATTGGAAATGTGAACGACCTCGAAAAAACATCAGATTTCACAAAAAAATCGGAATTGAGCGTTAAGCCCTGCAGTCTGAACGTAGCCTTAGATTCTAGGTTGGTCATTACTAGAATTGGATCTGGTGTTTTTCGTCCGCATAATGGGTGCGATGTTGGTCTTAATTTTCATTTAAGTGGTCTTAAAAAGTCTTAAATTTGGTGTAGTCAAACCTGTTCTCTGTCGGAGATGTAGACAGACTAATAATAAACGATCACTCAAACGTGTGAATGAAACAAAACACAACTCCAGTTCTGTTTTTGAGGAGAAAACAACATTCTAACATGACTCAAAGCTCACAAGAGTCAGTTCCTGTGCAATATCGGAGCGTTAAGTCACAGTTTCTATTTCTGTTTGCGAGAGTAAATTGGCCGTAGTGCTCACATGGTTTACGTGTACGTTATTGAACATTGAACTACACAGAAGCTCTTTAACATAGTGTTCTTTTTGCCACTGGCCTCACGAGGGCCTGTAGTCTAAAAGAACGTTCAGATCGTATTGACTGAATAAAAGCTTTATTAAATGTCCCATGTTCTAGTTTGTCGACAGCCCGGGGCCTCAGCACACAGACACACACACACACACACACACACACACACTCGTACATTGTATTGGCAGCTGGACTCATTCAGTCATTCAAAAGGAAAGAACCACCAAAAAATATTCAAACACATTTTACGGAAAGGCGAAGTATTTTTAATTTAGAATGAAAAAATAATACCCCAAATATGAAACAGTTTAAACAAAGATATATAGAAATGATTATAAGTGTTTTCTAATTTTTATGCATAGACTTTGTTAGAATAATTGTGTATATTATCCCATATTTGCGGAGACACGTATTGTAACTAGGGACCCTCTTAAGACAATACAAATAGGAGACGCAGGGAGTGCATCAGAGCGGGTCGAGACTGTAACGGTGAATGCACTCTCTGTCCGCCCTCCTCATGAGAAAACGATTCTAATCTCTTGTCTTTCTTCTTGTTTTTACAATGTTTAGGTGGGTTTAAACCTGACAGACTTGAAATTA